GCCAAACCAGCTAGGTCTTGGCTCCATTTTCAAATAGGCGATCCCTTCCAGCAACTCCAGGATTACAACTCAGAACCCCAAATCCAGCTGAAGAAACTCAGTGTGCCTTTCTGGCAACAGCTAGGTCTTCTTGGCTTTGATGAACTTACCTAGCACACAGCACTGGGGCCAGAAAGATACACTATGCCAATGTAGCAGGACTGAGATGGGATGCTGTTTTATTAAAACAGGAAAATAGACCATAGGAAGGAAAAGAATTGCTCAGTATGATTTTGAAGCGTAAAAGAATCCATCTGGTATTAAACATAGGAAAGTGGTTTTGTAGATGCTGCCTCTGAGACATTGTGTATGTGGTGTGGGATATGCATGTGTGTTGTGTGGTCTGTGTGGTGTATGTGGTATGTGGTATTGCTGTATTGTGTGGTATGTGTAATGCGCACCTGTATGGTGTGTGGTGTGTGGTGTGTGTGGTATGTGGGGTGTGTGTGTGTGAGTGTGGTGCCTACATGGAGAACAAAATGTCCACAGTAAAACAGCCCTGCTGCTCAGGGGAATTAGAGAGGCCTTCTAGGACTGTCAGGGATGTAGCTCCAGTAAGGTCACGGTTAAATGTTGAAGCATTATAAATTAGATTGGGGGTGGGGGGTGGGGGACGGGGAAGCCATCTGGCAAAGCAAACAGTTAGGGTGGGAGTTGTGGAAAAGAAATGTAGATCTCAGAGTCCAAAGTGGACATGCTGACATTTCATGTGGTTCACTAACTCTACTTTGTGGCCTTCATAAATTTCACTCAGAATTAATGTCAATGAAATTAATGAAATCACAGGCTGTTCAACAAAAGAAGTATCAATCTGTAGTTTTCCATTGGGTCAATGAGACCTCAACTTATCATAAGTATGCTTCATATCTCCAAGAGCTGAGCGCTGAGTTTGCTTAAAGTACCTGTCAGGAACTTCATAAAAATTCTTTATAGTGATCTTTCTTAACAAAGTTCAGGTGACTTTTGGAGTTAGAAATCCTGATTCGAAGACAAAAAAAAAAAAAAAAGACAAAAGAATCCATAAATAAACAAAAAAAAACAACACACCTTGGTTTAGCAAATCAGTTTCAATTTCTACAATCTAGAATAAAATCCTCCTTCAACTTACTTAAAAGATTTTTGTAAAAAATATTTGTACTTTTATTGTTCCGAATAGAAAGAGAAAACGGAGAAAACAATGGCCCTTTAAAACACATCACTTCAAAAACTTGAGATAAAAAATAAACATTATAGAGATGTTATTATATGTGTTTCTTTCCTGAAGGCAAATGCAATGTGTCCAAATGCATATGTGAATCTGAGTGTATCAATAACATACTTAACTTGAAGACATTGCTAAGAAAATTTCTATTAGTATACTATATCACTTTTCCATAATATTACATAAGTTAGAAAGTAGAATTGTGTTTCACTTAGGTAAAAATATTCATATGCATTATCCTATATAATAAAAGGCTAATAAGCAAATTGTCTCCTCCACCAGAAGTTCGACCTGTGGCCTCGCCCCCTGGCTGGCCCAACCCTCAGTTGCCCCCCCCTTGGAGGCAGGGCCTGCTGGCCAACCTCTCACATCCTTTCCCCCCAGCTGGCCCAGCCTGATCAGCTCTGATTGGGGTGAGCCAGCTGGACTCCACCCATGCACGAATTCGTGCACCAGGCTTCTAGTATAAAATATAATAATGATCAAGTCCACATTAAAGAAAAATACTACATGCTTGTTCTAGATAAAAACAAACAAACAAAAACCACAATAACAAGTCTGGCCAGTTATACCTTGGTGGTTGAGCATCAACTTGTGAACCAGGAGGTCATGGTTCGATTCTCTGTCAGGGCACATGCCTAGGATGCGGCTGGATCCCCAGTGACGGTTGTGCAGGAGGTAGCCAATCAATGATTCTCTCTCATCATTGATATTTCTATCTCTCTCTCTCTATCCCTTTCTCTCTGAAGTAAATAAAAATATATTTAAAAATAAAAAAACAATAATAAAACCCAGCCGGCATGACTTAGTGGTTGAGCAATGACCTATGAACCAGGAGGTCATGGTTTGATCCCAGTCAGGACGTATGCCCTGGCTGTGGGCTTGATCCCCAGTGAGGATCATACAGGAGGCAGCCAATCAATGATTCTTTCTCATCATTGATGTTTCTATCTCTCTCTCTCTCTCCTTTCCTTTCTGAAATCAATAAAATTATATTTTAAAAAATTAAAAAGAAAACAATAACAAAAATGAGATAAAATTTACACTGGAAATTTACATTTTTATTTCTTTGCCAGGTTTACAATTTACTGCTTAGAGATATAATTTAGGTTATTATCACCTTTATTTCTCTATGTAGAGATGCCTGTTCTCTATTAATTATTCTACAAAATGGAGAACTAGCAGTGATCTTAAGAAAGGAAGAATCAACTTCCTGTTCTCACAATTAAAGAATTTTAAATTTTCTTTCCATTAGAGTTTGTCTCTCTGGATCCAGTTGCCTTGTGTCTTGCTAATGTGAACTCTTCTTTCTACCTAAATATAGGTTCTTCTCTAGGATCATCGTAGATTTTTGTCTGGGTCTCTACATCATTGCTGAGAAATAGTCTGTCTATCTAGCTTCCCTAACATGTGCCACCTGCTCCGTCTTTAGACCATCCTAACTTCTTCCCCCAAGGAAGAGATGGAATATTTTGTCTCCAAGTGAGGTATCCCATGCTTGGCTTCAGCATCAATTGCGGGCAAAGCCCCTCATCTAAAATGACATTAAAATCCCACAGGTTGGAGCTGAGAGCCACCATCCAATATGGCTGCCAGTAGTTCCTAATATGCCACTTGTTAGAAGTATTGACTCACATTATAACTAGAACTCTGTAACTAGCCTATGAAGAAGAAAGTAAGATTATCTTGCTGCAAAGCTACTAGTTGATGAGAATGGTTGAAGAGTACTTGCTGATAAAGCAACGCTTTGGAGCTCTAATAACATAGCGTTTGTCATGACTCACTGAAATTCAACTTTATATTTTCTCTGAGAGTATTTGCTAGGGAAAATTTTTTAAGTAACCGAAGGAAAGGGTAGCCTGCTTTAAAATAGAGTTAATAAGCATGAACTCCTAGAAGATCATCATATACAAATATTGCTATTAAACCACATACTGTTAATGTGATAATCACTAGTGATTTCTACCTTATTATTAGGTGATAATAATAAACAAATATTACTGTACATTGATATCACCTACCTACATCTTTTTTTTTTGAGAGGAAGGGAGAGGGGGAGAGAGAGAGAGAGAGAGAGAGAGAGAGAGAGAGAGAGAGAGAGAGAAACATCAATGAAGACAGAGATTCAATGATTGGCTGCCTCCTACACACCTCACACTGGGGATAGAGCCGACAACCCTGGGGATGTGCCTGACCAGGAATCGAACCATGACCTCCTCGTTCATAGGTTGACACTTAACCACTGAGCCACACCATCTGGGCACCTATCTGCATCTTTATATTTATTAAATAAAATAACCAAATGTGTTTCTACCTTCCCTTTTCTTTGAGTAGAGATACTCTACAAACATAAAATTAATAAAATTATATTTCTTAAAATATTCTACATGTCAAATTCTTTGCCTATATCTATGCAATATGTACTTTGGTAAATTTCTTCATAACAGTCCCTACCAAAGAATTAAATCAGATTTAGTTTCTTGTGGATGGTGGATGTATAGTATGGATGTTTTATGAATTGATTGCTGCAATCAGTGGTTGATTAAAATTGTTCTGGTTTTGTCCAGCCGGTGTGGCTCAGTGGTTGAGCATTGACCTATGAACCAGGAGGTTGAGGTTCAATTCCCCATCAGGGCACATGCCCTGTAGGAAGCATGCAGGAAGCAGCTGATCAATGATTCTTTCTCATCATTGGTGTTTCCATCTCTCCCTTTCCCTTTCTCTCTGAAATCAATAAAAATATTTTTTTTTTTAAAAAAAATTGTTCTGGTTTCTTTATTAGGAAGATAGAATTTTGGCTTTTTAAAAGGAGAAGGTCAGTGGAGTAATCAGAATGTTGCAGATAGTGGTGATGGTTGCAAAACATTGTGAATTTACTAAGTGTCACTTTAAAATAATTGAAATGATGAATTTCTAAGTTGTATGCAGTTTACTACAATAAAAAAAACCAGGGTATTTTATTCTGTCTTCCTCTAACAGTATCTCTTTTTTTTTTTTTTTTTAATGTTTATCTTCCTTTTTCCCCTCTGGTAGTAGTATCTGATCAGAGGTGGATGACACCTAATTTAAATCTTAATTATAGAACATAGTTTAGGAGATGATTCCAAGAGGAACAGGAAACATGGTACTTTATCAGAAAGCTATCAGCAATTTAGCATCTCTCTATTTGTGGACATTTGGCTTATAATATTCACTTTGTTTATAACACTGAGCTCCCATCAGGCCAAAATATAAAAAGGGGATACAGATACACTCTGGTCTACACTCCAGACACACTTCCCTGGGCACACTGGCCCTCCCTCTGGGCAGTGGTTGGCTTTCTAGACGACACATAAACAAGTGTCTTTGACAGAAAGGCCAAGTGGCTCCAGGTCCTGACGATAGCACACACTAACAAAGCAGGGAAGTCGAGACTCCGGTTTATTTACAAAGCCTACGTGCTAGAAAGACAGAGATAAAGCCTTTCCCAGCTAGCACAGTGATGCTCTCCTTTCTCCTGTCTCCCAGAGAGTAACCTAGCTGAGAAGCCAACAGAAAAGCGGCAGAGCATTGCTTAGCCTTGGCTGCAGGGCCAGAAATTGTCAGATTCTGGCCCCCATGGAAGGAGACTACACAAACTCAAGGAGGGGCCAATCTCCCCTCCTAAACATTTCCTCAGTAAGCACCTATTAAATACAATAATCGAGAGGTGCCAACACTTTAGACTCCATCTAGTAGGCAAAGAATAGAATGCTGCTGTGTCCAGATAAACTATGGAGAACCATCCGGTAGCTTAATGCTTCTTCTGCCTTAAAAGAGCTTTATTCTTGAATGGAATATCTATGCAGAAGTTTTACTAGAAAGGACTTGAGAGACTAACCTAGAACGACCAGAAGCCTCATACCTTATCCTCCCCATCCAGTGCCTGGTGCTACAACAAATTCCCCCAAGGCTTGGTCTGCTGTGTACACACGTCTGACAAATAACACCAGTTCCACATGGTCCAAAGTTTTCTCTCAAATTAGGGTAGCAGTAGACATCTCTACCCACACCCCTAAGACACACACATACTTGCTCTTCAGTCACTCACTAAGTGCTTTGTGCCCTCTCTTGTGTTAGGTGCTGGAATAAAGCCATGAGTAGAACAAGGTCCAGCTTTTGAGGTTCAGGGTTTAGTAAGGGAGAAGAGAAACAAACAGGTATTTAAATGATAATGTGATTTGGAGGACTATGATCCAGAAGTGCACACAGGCCCAAAGAGACCAGGAGAGTTGGCCTACCTCCCTCCAAGCTCAGCACAGAGAAAGAAGTTTGTGGGAATTCTGTTTCCACCTCTTTTAGAATGGAATCGTGCGTGGGCTGAAGCAAGGTGAGCAGGAACAGTCTGGAGGAGCCAGCCAGGGCCCTGCCCAAGTTCAGTGTGAGCAGACAGTGTAGTATTCCTTCAACCATGCTTACACTTGAGTCCTCTTGGCCATTTGGGCATCACTTTTCAAACAATGAGAACCAATTATCTGAAAGAAGATAGAAATTAAAAACACTTAGATCAATTGAGGCAAAGGACCAGTTTAATGGTGATTTAAATATTAAGATTTAAATATCAACGTGCACATGAGCTAAATTCTAGACCCACAAGTAAAAGTCCAGAAATGGCTTATTTGTCTGGTAGTTAGCTTCTCTGAATTGCAGAATCTAGCTAGGAAAAGAAGTAAAGGTGAGGGGGGAGAGAAAGAAAAGGGAAAGAAGGAAGGGAAGGAGAGGAGGGGAGAGCAGTGAGGTTGAGAGAGAGGAAGGCAGGGAGAGGAGGAGCCAAGGAGAGGAAGGGAGAATGGGCACCCTAGCCATGCACTGACCTCGTCTCTCTCCATTAGTCAAAATTCTTTGCTTCAAAGGGAACTAACATACTAACCCAACTATCTCTTGGGCCATGACTGGGTTATGCACATAAATTATAAAATGAATTCTACAGGCGTAGATATTACCCAAATTTTATCAATGAGAGAGTAGGGGCTCAGGATGTGAATGATTTGCCCAAAATGACATAGCTATTAAGTGACAGAAGCCATGTGGTATTAGCTTGCAATGTGATACTGCAGAAAATAAGCTAAATTCGATGACTTGACTAAGCTTAAATTCCACAATTAAACCAAAATGTGTAGAGTCACTATTACCACGTTCAGTAACCCTTGGTGTCAGCCCTCAATTCCTTCCTCTCTTGACCCCACAGCCGGTCATGAAATGCTAACACTCTATGTCTCAACTCTGGCTGCAACTCTCCATCCCCATATCCTCCTTCCCCTTTGAGACCCATCTCTGTGGACTGTGTCCAAGGCCTTCTCAGGTCTCTCTGACTCTGCTACCAGAGGCTGTGTGGCTAGGCGGCAGGAACAATGGTCATGTCACTCTTTGTCAAACCTCTACTGGGTCCTTACTGCCCTCAGGAAACAAATATGCGCTTGAACAGACAGTCCTAGATCATTTTTGGAGCCAGCAGTGGTCAAAGGATACAAACTTTCAGTTCCAAGATGAATAAGATCTGGGGATCTAATAGTGACAATAGTTAATAACACCGTATTGTTATACTTAAAACTTGTTGAGAGTAGATCCTAAGTGTTCTCACCACACACAAAAATATAACTATGTGAGGTGATGAATGTGTTAATTAACTTGATTGTGGCAATCATTGCACATGTACCTGTGATTAAATCCTCTTGTTTTGCAGCTTAAAAATCACATTGTACAACCTAAATATATACAACCTTGACATGTCGTACCTCAATAAAGCTGGAAAAAAATTACTTCTCTTCCCAGCTCTCTTAAAATAGTAGCTCTTTACTTATTTCAAAATTATTATGAGGATTAAAGGAAATACTATGTGAGACAGTGTATATAAAGTTATCTTTATTCCTTGCCAGAAAGTTTTTTTTCTCTGCTTTCCTCTTTCTTTTTTCTCTCCTGTGCATCCAGAGTTGGTGAATTTCATGAAATGGTAACAATGACCGCCTGTGCTTATGTAAATAAACATGTTTAGTGCTGACTCTGTGATGGCACTGTTAAGAGTACTTTACAGATATCAACTCATTTATTTTATTTCATTTTCTCCATCACCGTTTATCTCCTCTCTGCCCTCTTCCACCTCACCGTCCCCGCAATCACCACACTGTTGTCCATGTCCGTGAGTTCTCTTTTTCTTTTTTGCTCAACCTCTCAACTCCTCCCCAAACTCTTCTCCACCCCCACTACCCCACTCCCCCACACACAACAGAACTGTCGGCCTGCTCTCTATCCATGAGTGTGTCTCTAGATATTAACTCATTTAAATCTGCAAAGGAAACTCCTAAGAACTTTTTGAAATATCACTATTCTTATTCCCATTTTTATAGATACAGTAATCCCCCGTATCCACGATTTTGCTCTCTGTGGTTTCAGTTACTTGCAGTCAACCTCAGTCTGAAAATATTAAATGGAAAATTCTAGAAATAAATAATTCATAAATTTAAAAATTGCAAGCTGTTCTGAGTAGCATGATGAAATCTCATGCTGTCCCACTCCATCCAGCGTATTCACGCTGTAGATGCTGCCTGCCTGTTAGTCACTGAGTAGCCATCTGGGTTAGCAGATCAACTGTAGCAGTATCACAGTGTTTGTCTTCAGGTAACTCTTATTTTATCTAATAGTGGCCCCAAAGCCATTCAAATATCTTTTATTTCAGTATAGTATTATAATTGTTCTATTTTATTATTAATTACTGTTGCTAATTTCTTACTGTATCTAATTCATAAGTTAAACTTTATCATAGGTATGTGTGTACAGAAGAAAACTTAGTATAAATAGGGGTCAGTACTATCTACTGGGTGTCTTGGAAGATATCCCCCATGGATATTTGGGAAAAACTGTACATTAAAACTGAGGTGACAGGGTTAGTCACCTGCCCAAAGTCATAGAGCTGGACTAATGTAGGCAGGCTAACTCTTTAGCCTGGGAACTTTCCTACTTGGTAATTTGGGGTAAAAGAATTAGCTCCATTAATGCCAACCCCTCTTTCTCTAGTTAAACGAGGCCTTTTAGTTTGCCCAGTTCCAAGATACAGTCAGAAATACTCCATAGCTCTGCCCTGAGAAAGCGTGGCTACACATTTTAATTGAATTCATCCTCCTTATCTCCAAGAGCTTTTATTATAATCCACAGACTAAAGCTATGATGACTGTGGATGAGCTCGTTTCCTGGGGATTGAATCTGCTGGCTCAAGCAGCCAGGGAGCCCCAGCACAGTGACTGGAAGCCAGCTGGTCATCCATCAACAGGAAACCTGCCAGACTGGCCAGCACAGGTACCCAGACAGAAACAAACTGCCAGCAAGCACTGCGGCTCTTTCTTTATTCTTCCTTTTCTTTTATGAATTGAGCAATTGTTGCGCCATCCCCACTGTCTGGGCAAGGTGAGTAGTGAAGACTCAGAGAAAGGACTGTGATGTGGGATTCCTGGGTCCTGGCAGAGGATATTTGTCTTTCCTTCCCCATCTCTAGCCCCAGTCATGCCCTAGCCCTACAGTGAGAAGACGTGTCCATTTCAGATAGAGAGGCCCAGGGAGTCATGGCTCTCGCCATACTTACCGAGACCTCCGGCCTCAGAACTGACCCTCCTCACCAAAAGAGGGGCTTAGCTGTGAGCCCACACTCAGGGTCTCCTTCCAGAGTCCTGGCTGGAGGTGAACTCACAGGAGAGTGAACAATGGTCCCTTTTCAGCATGTAGAATTGTAATAAATAAGCCTTCAAAGGCAAGGGAAGGTCTATACACACCAGGTATGATTGTCACAGTAGTTTGGAATTTGAGGGTGCAGCCATTCTAAACTGAAGAATCCTTTTTTTTAAGTAATTCGTTTATTTGGCTTTAAGATCCCCATAGTTACTAAGGTCTGCTTGCAAGTAAACCTTCTTGTGACTTTCGTGACAAGATAAGGACCCTCAGGTCTCATAAGCATGTGTCTGGGCAAAAGCCGTTTGACTTGCCTCCGAGGAGTAAACATTGTTATCCCACGAAGCTGTTAAATTGTTTGGCAAATCCTGTCTTCTAGATTGGTAGGCTGTACACAGAGAGTTTTGTTTAGCTTTCTACAAATTATCATAGACTCCAAAAGAGCAGGATCTTTATCAACAAATCTGTATGCTATTTCTAACATTCTGCTCCTGGATGTGGTAATGATATAGAATGAGTCAGGATTTGACTCCTAGGTCAGCTTTTTGCTCTGAGATCTAAGGAAAGTAGTTGAAAACTTTGGACTTTTGTTGCACAGTATCAGAGTAGGTGCTAAATAAATCATTTGTTGATAATAAAAAGAATGAAGATGAAGAAGGGAAGGAGGAGGAAAAGAGGAACAGGAGAAAGGAAAAGTAGAGCGATCATTGTATTTTCCAAAATATAAATTGAAGGTAGTAAAATTATTCACCAGTATTTAGAGCAAGTCAGCTTTCTAAATGTTTCCTAAATATCAAAGACCCTTCAGGATTAAAAGAAATCCTAAAAGTATCCTTAAACTCAAGGTGTCTAAAAATGACACCTTGTTATTAGACATTTAAATAGACATTTTATGATATAATGTTAAATAGACATTTTATGATAAATGTATATAACATAATTATATGGTTAGCAAAGTTATTAGATAAGTTCATCAGGATGAGGCTTTATAATTATTGAATAGATAGAGACATGATATTATAATTCTAGAATGCTAAAAATCTGTAAGGTAAATTTTTTTGATGACATTCACCAAAATTATAACCTGAGAAATCTAAGAGAAAATAAGTTCTAGGAAGATTACTATTTTTCACTTTAGCAAACTTTTTACATAAATATAAATGTTTCTCTTTAAAAATCGTATAAAGAAAAGACAAGAACACTAACAAGTCTTGCAAAACCAGAATAAATTTCTGATGACTTTTATTTTTACTACTTTTTTAGAGGCATGCTGCTCCAGATAGCTGGGTGATTACATACCCACTAATGTATTTCCCCTTCATGTTTATTTTGGAAAGATGGCAGGTTATTTTGAAAGAAAGGAAGAAAAAACAGACTACAGAGGAAGCAGAGTTGCCTTGTATCTCATAGGGCAACGGATTACTAAAATTACCAGACTTTACGGAAGAGAACACACATTCTTTTTGTGTGTGTGTGTGCATGTTTTCTTAAGTTTCACCAAGATGATATACCCATAGTATTTAGGAGAAGAACCCAAGGCCAAAAAAATAATAAGGAAAAACTTTCATTTTGGAATTTTCCCTGGCGCACAAAACCAATAGTGATGAGGGTGGCATAGCTTCTGAGCGTTAGCTAGCTATCACACAAAATTTTCTTCCAGTATTTTCCAGACTAATTCAGTTTTATAGCTGATTACAGCACTGATAATTTGGAGATTATATATCAATACAAAAATATCATTAAACTATTACAAGTCAGTTTGTTTTAGTTAAGATTCCTGCCTAGTAACTGGATTTGTTTCAAGCATCATCCAGTCTTTGGAATGAAATTTATGAGGCACTTACTGGGTACCACAAAACCAAACCAGGGATGCAAAAGTAAATAATACAGAATTCTTGCCCCCACGATGCTCCCAGTCTGCCCTGGGGGCCTTGGATGTGCTGAGGAAGTCGTCCTAGACAGCATTCGGGAATTGATGCAGGTAATAAAGCATCCGCTCTTCTACAATTCATTGAGTGGCCTTCTACCAGGTAAAACTATTTGCTTTTATCTTCTTGAACAGGAGATAGATTTTTACATTGATTTATCTCTGGGGGGGGGGGGGGGGCGGGGGGGAGTGTCCTTCCTCCAGCAATGAAGCATTTCTACTGTACCACATTATTTTAATTGTGTCTCTGCAGGAAGGAAGAAGTCCAGAATGATCAAGACGCTGGCTGTAATCAATGACCTCTTTCAAGATGCCTTGAACTTTCTTTTGTTGATCAGACCTTCTAAAAGTGTGCTGGGAGTCAAACGCTCTGGCTCACACCCATGTTAAACATGGCTTAATCGCATGATGCGACAATTCCTTATCAGATGACCCTGTGCTCATACACAAACACAGCCACTATCAGACACAGACAGGCCATGATCTGGCAAAACCTTGATGAAACAGAAATAAACACAATGTGTAGTGCATATTAATAAACTCGGGCATTTTGGCACACAGAAACATTGCAAACACCCTCAAAAGGAAAGTTCTGTAAGGCTAGGTTTCCTTATATGAACCTTCCCATCTCTATAAACAAGGAGAGATAAAAGGGAAAGAGGTGAACCTTTTGAAATGGTCTATCTCTTCTTCAATCTTGGAAATAACCACTCCCTTGTTAAGAACTAATAGTTTCCGTAATGTGTCATTTTCTCAAAGGAGGGGGACTAAGGTACAGAAAGGTTCTGGCTCCCCCGCCTAGAAGCTTACTCATCTAAAGGTAATTGGAAAGTGCTTTAGGTGCAACTGTTAGTATGTAGGGAAATGAGCACTCACCAGATGCAGCAAAGTTAAGATGCTCAGTAAAGAAATCTTAGTAAACAAATAAATCTTAAATTTTATTTTAAAATAAAAACTAAAATAAGTTTCAAAATAGTATAAGTACAAAAAAGACCTCAAAAATCAATTGAAAATAGTTGAAATGTATTTAGTTTGAGTGTGTTAGGTCAAGTTAAAACATAAGGAGAAAGTGGAACATTGTTTCTTAAACACTTCAGTAGTTTTAAAAACCTTTTTGGTATAAGCAGTACTGTGCCTATGTCTGTAATTTATAAAAAGTCTATATTTAGATAATCTGCTCAAAACAGTGACTAAAATTTGTGGTAATTTCCAAAAAGTAAGTTGATCAAATTTAATTTACTGTAGATCCTTCTCAAAAGACTAGTGTAAAGGTTTCCTTCACCCGCCAGCCCCTCAAGTTAATGATCCATCTCCTTTTTTAAAAAAATACCTTTTTTTTTTTTTTCAGAGAGCAAGGAAGAGGGAGAGAGAGAGATAGAAACATCAATGATAAGAGAGAATCACTGATGGGCTGCCTCCTGCATGCCCTGACTGGGAATTGAACCGTGACCTCCTGATTCAAAGGTTGAAGCTCAACCACTGAGCACACCGGCTGGGTGACCCATCTTCCTTTAATGTGAGGATGAAACTTCTCCCTCAGTCTCTGAAATGGGTACTAGAGTCACCAGCTCCTGAGAGCTGCCAAGTGCCATGGCCTGCCCTCCATTCCTAACCTCCTGGTACCTCCAGGGTTGGCTTCTCTGGGATAGGGTACCCCTGGGCTTTGTTTTACATTTTGAGATGTAGGATTTCTATGTCGTGCCTGTGTCGTTGGCTCCTTTTCCTTTTCCTAATCCACAGTATAGTCAGTCTCAAATTATTTTTTTAATATATTTTATTGATTTTTTTACAGAGAAGAAGGGAGAGGGATAGAGAGTTAGAAACATTGATCAACTGCCTCCTGCACACCTCCTACTGGGGATGTGCCCGCAACCAAGGTACATGCCCTTGACCAGAATCGAACCTGGGACCTTTTAGTCCACAGGCCGATGCTTTATCCACTGAGCCAAACCAGTTAGGGCCAGTCTCAAATTCACAGCATTCTCTGCCCATACTCTGCTTCTTCATGGTGATCCACCCACCCTCTGTCTACCTTCCGCTTCTATGCAAAAGACCACCAGGATGTATTCCAATTCTGGAGCTGTCCACAAGCCCCAATCCCTACTTCTAACCCCCCAATGATGGCTCAGTGACTTTAAACTTGTCACTTACCTCACAGACCAGTTCGGACCTCCTCAGCCACGGACCTTACAAGGCAGTGTTGACCTTTCCCTCCTAATCAGCCGCACTCCATCAGTGCCCAAACCATGCCAGCTCCTGCTGTATGTGCCTCTGCCCTTTGATTTAAAAAGTCAGGCTCTGCACTGGGACCTAGGCAAGAGAGAGTCAGAAAAGGTCAAGCTGCTACCCAGTGAGCAAAAGAACATGCGTGCTTTCCTCCGGGAAGTCTCAGTGCAGTGTGGAGTGACCTCTGCGAGGAGCAGTGGGAAACCTTGTTGTTATAATTGTCTTCCAAAAGCAAAAGCAGTTAAAAAGCTGAGGAGAGCCAAGAAAGCAACCAGACAAGTGCTGGTAAGAAACAAGCTGAACTCCTCACTCGTTTCTATCTGTAACTTCTGTCAAGGCGGGTCACAGATGGTCAAGGAGTTATTTTAGGAAATGGACTCAATAGGGAGAATGACGTCCCTGATTTCTCAATAATTCCGTGAGACCTTGATGGCCTGTGCTCTGTACTGTTTTTTTGTTTGTTTGTTTTTTCTGTATCCTTTCACCTAAGAGAAAAGCATATTGTACAGAACAAGAGGAAAAGAGAAGAAGAAAAAAATGTAAAGATGGTTATCATTAATAATGGCTCTCATTTATACATAGCCTAAGATGAACCCAGCTGTAAGTAACCACTTTACATGCCTCACAGGATCCCCTGAGAAAGAAATGATTGTCCCTATTTTACAAATGAAGAAAAAGGTACAGAGAATTTAATTTCTCCAGGGTCACACAGCCAACTAAAAAGCAGAACTAGGATTCAAACCCAGGACTACCCGGGGCCAAATCCACTACTTTTTTGCCTGTACTCCTCCAACCTCCAGAAGGAGCGTGCCACAAAACATGCCATTGATCCTTACTGAAGCATTCTATGCTTTTAAGACTATAAAGTTATTAGTGATACTTCAGAAGCCATTCATGATGTGGGCAATATGTGTAGAAAAATATGTAGAGTGTTTTCCTAATTTCCTCTCTTGGCTTTCCTCAGCTGTTTTTTTTCTTTTAATATATTTTTATTGATTTCAGAGAGGAAGGGAGAAGGAGAGAGAAATAGAAACATCAATGATGAGAGAGAATCATTGATCCGCTGCCTCCTGCCAGGCCCCCTACTGGGGACTGAGCCTGCAATCCAGTCATGTGCTCTGACCGGGAATTGAGGCACAACCTCCTGATTCAGAGGTTGATGCTCAAACACTGAGCCAGGCCAGCTGTGCTTTCCTCGGCTTTTTAACTGGTTTGCTTTCGAACGACTATCACAATGACACGGTCCCCACTGTGCGTCGGAGGTCACTCCTCACTGACTCCTTTTTATTCCTAGAGATTTTCCAAAGTAGATAAACGTGGTCATTGATCAAAATTCTGAAGAATGACCTGCTCTGACTGGAAGACAGTGACACAGAATAGATAAGACCAGGCTTCGGAGTCACACCATCCTGGGTTTGCTTCTTGCTTCTGCCACTTGCATTCTGTGCTCTGTGACCTTAAGCTACTGACTTAACTTTTCTGACTTGCAGCAGTTTTCCCAGGCCCCATGTTACCAACCCAATTTTCTATCTCTTGGTGCTTCTACTGAATATTTTATGAGCCTTTCATTTCCAATCCTGGTACCTCCCCGATCCTCCATTCAGTCTTCTCTGAAAATAGTAACAACACCCAGTTGTTTATTCCAGAAACCTTAATACCTTATTGCTTTTTCTCTCTCAGAACCCCACATCCCAATCCATCTTTAAGACCAATACATTTCCCTTCTAAAAGTATAGCTTGAATCTCCATACTTCTCTTCTTTAAAATGACTCACCTGGCCCATGCCACCATCATCCTTTTCCTGGACACCAAAGTATTCTCATAATTAATCTTCCCTGTTGCTCTCTCCTCCCCCTTCAACTCATTCCCCATGATGCAGCCAGAGTGGCTGTTTCAAAAAAGAGAGAGAGGATCGTGTGACTACCTTTAAAATCATTTAATGGATTCTAACGTAAGGATTTCAAACCTTCTTTACATCCATTGGACGACTATATTATTTAAAATAAGATGGGAAAAAATAACAAGTATTAGCAAGGATGTGAAATAACTATAACCCCTTTGCATTGCTGGTGGGAATGTAAAAAGCTGCAGCTGTGGAAAACAGAATTAAAAAGAGAATTTACCATGTGATCAGCAATTCCGCTTCTAAGGATATGCCCAAAAGAATTTAAAGTAGAGAATCAAAAAAGATATTTGTGCCTTGCTGGAGTGTATTTTACAGCACTATTCACAATAACTGTCCATTGACAAATGGATGGTTAAAGGGGATGTGGTATATACATAGTCAAATATTATTCAGCCTTTAAAAAGAAGTAAATCCTGGCCTAGCCAGGTAGCTCAGTTGGTTGGGGAAGTGCCCCCCATACCAAAAGGTGGTGGGTTTGATTCCTGGTCAGGGTGCATACAGAAGGCAACCGATCGAGGTTTCTCTCTCATCTCTCTCTCTCTCTCTCTCTCTCTCTCTCTCTCTCTCTCTCCCTTTCTCCCTACCTATTTAAAAAAAAAAAAAAAAAAAAAAAAAAAACAGGAAGCAAATCCTGCTATTTGCAAGAACATAGATAAACCTGGAGGATATAATGCCAGGCGAAATAAACCAGACACAGAAGGACAAGTACTGTGTGATTTTACTTAGATGTCTTTTACATAGAATAGTTACAGTCATAGAGAGAGAAGGTACAATGGTGGTTGCCAAGCGCTGTGGTGAGGGCAAGTGGGGAGTTATTGTTTAGTGGATTTAAAATTTCAGTTTCAAAAGATAAAACTTATTGAGAAGGAGGACGGTGAAGGCTGCACAAAAACGTGAATGTTCTTGCCGAAGCCGGTTTGGCTCAGTGGATAGAGTGTCAGCCTGTGGACTGAAGGGTCCCAGGTTCGATTCCGGTCAAGGGCATGTACCTTGGTTGCGGGCACAACCCCAGTGGGAGATGTGCAGGAGGCAGCTGATCGATGTTTCTCTCTCTCATCGATGTTTCTGGCTCTCTATCTCTCTCCCTTCCTCTCTGTATAAAATCAATAAAATATTTTTTTAAAAAAACGTGAATGTTCTTAATGTCACTGGACTGTACACTTAAGAATGTTTAAAATGGCAAATTATATGTTATGTACATTACAACACTTAAACATCCAAAACTCTTACCATGATCTCGGAGGCCTTGCATGATCTAGCCCCGGACTACCTCCCCGACTTCCCCTCTTAACAGTCCTACCCTCCATGCACTGGGAGGGCGCGGTGAACCCACAGGCCTTTGTACCTCAGCTGGCGGCAGCTCAAACACAATCTGCACAGACACCTTCCCTCCCACTCCACCCCTCAGTCCGTCCCCTACCTTCTCTGTCACATGCTTCAATTCGTCACATGTCACAGGGGAGTTTATATTCACATGTAGTAACTTCGTTAAGGCAGCCTTGTTCCTTAGGAATCAACGAAAAACCTAGGCTACCCTCACCCACGGGGTCCACCAGGCTTCCTGAAGTAATTAAGTCATGGACGTTGGCAATAGTAACTCAGGATGAGTGTGCACTTTCACGGGTAGTTTTGAATACTCTTCACTTACTTAATCTACTCATCCTAAGAAGGAGACTTCAAACTCTTTCCCCTGACTCTTAACTTAAATCGTTTTCAAAGAGGTGAGGGGAGACTTTTCAACTTTCAAATTAAAAAGTAAATCCATTTCAAAAGGCTTCCTCTGTCCCTTGCCTTCGATGGTGGGAGTTGTTCTTCAAGGGGGGATTTCTCTGAAATAAAATCGGGAAAGATTCCAAGAGAGTTCATGCTTCCAATACTAAGTACTCTGACTTCTGAGGACATGGCCCAGCCCACTCTTTAATCACATCTGAGGAAATTCCCCTAGCCTGGGTAAAAGATCATAATATCTTAAGAAGGCTGATGAGCTCATGAAAAGCAATTAAATTTAGAAAGCCAAGACACTCCCAGGAACCTTCTCCAGGCTACGTTCTGTTCTGTTAACCCCTTGAAATTTCCAGATCTGCACCATACCAAATTTTAAATTATTTTCAGAGTGGCTTGTTTTTAATGCATTGCAAAGCTGTTTGTGATCTATGTCCCTGAAACTTCTGTTGCATTATCTTTATCAATATTCAACAGTTCAGAAAATGAGGCTTTAAAATTTTTGTGAGCCCCATTTATATTTGATGGATTTGGCATTCCAAATTTTAATTTTCAATGTGAGGATTATTTTATATGTACCTTGAAATTTTATGGGAGAAAGTACATCAGGAGGTCTCAGATGAAGGGAAACAAAAGAGCTTTCAGAATTACTGAAACACTTAAAATGTGCAAGGGAAGCCAAAGATGTCAGTACTAAAAGATTACTTGTCTTTATATAACAATATTCACAACCAAAATACCCACCATTCTTCTTTAAGGTGGAGACGTAATAAAATGAAAATCATATAAAGTGAATTGCATAATTGTATAACTCACTCTGTGTGGGAAGCCATTTCCCAAAGCCCCCTGTAAACACTGCAACTTCCCACCACTCTCTCTTGTTTATGTATACATATATGTCATACTTACTATTTATTTCTTTGGCTCATAAAACAAAATATTGAAATTTCAGATGAAAACGAGCAATGAAGATGGAAAGTGCTCTCTTTCCCTTACTCTTTTGCAACCGTATTAATCCTACTCTACGAGAGTCTGGAGGGAAAAAAAAAGAAAGAAAGAAAGCGTTTTGTCGATGACAATTGTTTGTAAATGTAGAAAGCAAAAGATTTCCATGTATGGACTTTAAGTGCATTCCATCCAGTGCAGTGTCAAGTTTTGTGCGCGATAAGGCCAGAGCAGGAAGCCACTCGAGGTCAGGAAGGAAGTGCTGTCAAGCTTGGGAGCGGGCAGAGTCGTGCAGGGAGCTGGGCAGGCTCCGAGCCTCAGCTGTGTAACCACTGCCCTATTTTTAAAAGATAAACAGCAGGAATAGCACAAAATCCATATGGTGGCTACCTCAGATTCATCCAAACCACACAAGCAGCTCCCTCTTCCCCTTTGCCAGGCTTTGCATAGCTCCCAAATATGTGGAGTAACTGTTTTTTCTAGGACACAGAGATGCTTCTGAGAATTTGGTTACGGCCTTTTATCCAGTATTCACAGCTGGCTCTGAGGACCTCTGGGTATCCTAGCCAGTCTCCAAGTGTTGCCCCTTTCCTCCCATCCATTCTCAACCCACTACCAGCACCTCTTTGCTGAGAAGAAAAAAAATCCTCAGCGAAGGATTTGGCATTCCAAATTAACAATCATTTAGTAATTAACAATAGTGAGAGAAAATTCTCACCTTAATGAGTCTACAGACACGTCTACAGCACAGTCGGTCAACAGAACTCACTAGGCTGATGACCTTGACAATGCTTTTCAGAGTTAATTTCCAAACCAACAAGCATGTCCTGGGTGCCCATCACATGCTAAGCATTGTGCTGGACATTGGGTTCCCAAGGAGTAGTCAGCTGCCCTGGTCCTCATGGAGTATCCTGTGTAGAGTGTTACTCTTTTTTAAAGATGCCAATACTTGGCATGCATTGTGCCAGGGCAGTGATAATAGTATAGAATGGGTCCAACAGGAAGACCGATGAGGGGGTCCTAATCCAAGCTCACAATTGGAGTGGGACCAAAAGACATTCCAGGGTATGGGAGGTGGGAAGAAAAGCAAGAGGAGAAGGGAAGTGTGCCTCCAGGCTAGCATCAGAGGTAATAAAAATCATAAAGAAAAACAAGGACCGTGTATCCCAGTCTTTACCTCTCCACATTAGGATACTGGGAACCCGACAATGTTCTCTACCTCAGCCTGGGTGGTCTTGTATAATTATTTGTCGAACTACACATAGATGTTTTATGTACTTTTAATATTTGTTTTATTTTATAATTGAAATGTTTTTTAAAATAGGACACTAGGTTTTTTTAAAACGAGAGGGTTCAAAATGAAAAAGCCATCGCCCTAGAGGTCAAAAAAACAAAAAAAAGATGTCAAGGAATCTGTCCAGATCCAGACATACGTGTGTCGTTCATCCCTGAAGAAACAAGAGAGCCAGGCAGGCCAGTAGTCCCCGTCATCTCTTCATTTAAAGTTGCTCATCTTATTGTTCGAGGTCAAAGCTTCTACATTTAAAAACATCCTGTTGACCTGCCGCAGGAAATGCAAAATGCTGTCAGAAAGTGTCCCTTTCCTTATAACTATACCGCAGAGACGTCTGAGGGGAGAGGAAGCGGAACAGAGCCAGGGAAGGGAGGAAAACATCTCCATCTACCATGTTTTCAGAGAGAAATGGGGAAAACTACTGAACTTGAGCGTATAGAAAAGTTCACTTGCTCGGTAGTGTAGTCTCTGTGTTCATTATTTTGCATCTTGTCAGAATATAGTGAAGAGAACCCTTGACTCATGGGATTTACATAGGAATGCAGGCTTTGCCGAGGGGAGTTACAGAAAGCACGGGTCCCAGTTCATGCAGTCACCATACGCTGGCCCCGTCTGCCGCCTTTCTGGGTTGGGATGTCGCCTCACCAGGTAGCCTCTGCTCAGGCTGAAAGTACCTGCTCAGGAGCAGACTGAGCCTTTGAGAGCTGCTGGAAGCCCCACGTCCAGCAGTTGCTCTCTGCTGCGGGCTGGGCTATAGTTTGCTCTATCCCATTAGGGCTCTCCATCCCCGACCCCCAGCTCATTCCTTTTACACCCTGCTCTCCCTGTTAGGGGATACTCCCTTTGGGGGATACTCCCTTCTGCACAGTTTGGGAGGACAGCCCTGTCTGCCTTGCCCTTACTCCAATATTCTTCCCCTTCATTAAAGGCATAGATTTTTCTTGGCTGATCAGGTTCCAACAGCATTTCTGCAAGAAGCTTCCCTCACACCCACCAATCCACTTGGGCATTATAGCTCCTTGTTTACTCTCCCTTCAGCGCATTATTTTATTTGCCTGGTAAATTGCATATTCATTGCATTTATTGCCACCAGACTGAAAGTTCTGTAAGGATATTTACCAAAGCTATCTTGTCCACCGCTGATTCTCAGCTCTTAGTGTAGTGATTAATATTTTTTGAATGACGAGTAAATGAACATATCTAGTTCCATTTCCTGATCTTTACGAGACCCAGGAGCCCCTTGGGAACAAACATACATAGACACTGTCCCCATGTTGGGTCCAGGCATGGATATACAGGTCCGTCTCCTGGACCAGAGGACCTGGAGAAAAGGAAACGGTGATAGAAACAACAAAGCCGCTGAGAGCCTAATTGTCTCAGAGGAGGAAAGGCTGGTCATTCCAGGACACATTCAGTACCAGGGAACAAGCATCCCTGTGACTTTGGGCGAAGCAGGGGGGGGTGGGGTGCAGGGGAGAGACACAAACAGAAGATACCCTCCTCTGTTCGGATGCCACGCAGAGCACCAGAGAAGTGGAGGCACGTGGAACAGAAGCTCCAGGTACCACTCCAGAGGCCCGCACAGGGCACCGCTTCTGGGCATCTAGCCCAGCTCAGCCTCAACCCAGCTAAGCAGGGTGGCCAAGGACAGCTGGGCAGAGCTGACTGCAGATGTGCAGTCCACTGCTCGGCTTATATGTGGATCAGGGCTCCTAGGAATTCTAGAGAAAGACAGGGCGGTGGTCTTTTCATTTGGCAGATTGGAGACTAGGATGTAATAGATTTAGTGACAAACTTCAGGGACATGTGGACTGTAGGTACAATATTGTTTAATCCTCTCAACAATCTTTAAGCATGAATCCCATTTTACAGATGAGGAAACTAAGGCCTGGGAAGGTTACGACACTAGCACACAGTCAAGGACAGAGCAACAGCAGAGCTAATATTCAAACCCAGTGTGACTTCCAAGCTCAATGTTCCCAAGAATCCATCTCCCACAGGCCCCTCATATCTATAATCTGCAAATGCTATAGGGCTCTACCATGCCATAGTTTTACCCACAAACCCGATTTTACCAAATTTTTTATTATCACTTAAGAGAATATACAAATAAGAAAATATCAGATTTGGGGGAAATTGATATCAGTGAAATCAGGAGACAAGAGGTCCTGAAGCCAAAAGAAGCATAAGAAGAGAAAGCAGGGGAAAAAAAAAAAAAAAAGGAAGGGGGTGCTTTGACATTTAAATTCAGGCAGATAGATCATTACTGGATATCAGATTTCTAAGCCCCACCTAATGCACCACACTGTACATTAGAAATGCAAAATATTTTTCAGAAATTGTGTTTTGAAAACCGTCTCTGCCCACTGAGATTTACACTTTGGGCCCCTCTTTATGTATAGACTTCCATAGTCCTCCTGGGGTTTTTTGGGGGTTTTTTTGTTTGTTTGTTTTTTAATATATTTTATTGATTTTTTTACTGAGAGGAAGGGAGAGAGATAGAGAGTTAGAAACATCGATGAGAGAGAAACATCGATCAGCTGCCTCCTGCACACCTCCCACTGGGGATGTGCCCGCAACCCAGG